GTGTTCACCCGGCCTGGCGGCCCCACCCAGCTCTTCCCGCTCGCCCCTTACAGTTGGTGACTCCAGCTGTCGTTCATCTCCGGACTCCGCCTCAATTTAACCCTTAGGCGAAAGCAAGAGGGGGAGGGGGAGGGGGAGGGGGCTGAGGAGAATTGGGGAACCTTGGAAAGAAAGTGGAGGAAAGAAAAGGAGGCGGAAACTCGTATTAATAGAAATGTTTGCAATTAACTGCAGTTGTTAATAACATCATCCAGTACTTATCTGTTGCTTTCAATCTTCAAAGCATTTAACAGACGTTAAACTAATTAAAACAGTTCTGGGTTTGGAATGAAACCATGCCTGCTGTGTTTGCAATCCTATGGCGCGCCAAAAGTAAAGGAAACCGAGAGCCTGGGAGCCAAAGAGAGTGAGACTGGGCTGGGACTGAGGCTACCCCCTCTCCTGAAGCAAGTCCAGGCCTCAATCCCAGTAGGGAAGCAAGCCACCAGTACCAGACAGAAGGGAGTGATATTGCTCCAGGAAGGGTAAAACAGCCTCCTAGCATTTATTGATTTATCATTTTATTCAACAGATTAGTATTGATCTCTTTACAATGTAGAAACTGCCATGAGATAATCCCTCGTCATTATAGTTTCTCATCTTCTACCACAGCAGAGGTTTTGAGTGGAAAACCTCGGCCTTCATTGAGCAGAAAGGGAAGTCTAGGGCAGGAAAAAGTGGATTTTTACAATGGTGGCCCACAGATTGGCCAGAGACTGTTGGCATCTCTACTTGCAGGTAAGTGATCTGGCCTCTTCCCCCTCTTCCAACCTCTCCCTGGAGGAGTCCCTGGGGGAAGTTCAACAAGTCAGCCAAAGGTCCCAGATGTACACTGCTGCAACTGCAGCATCTTCAACAACTGCACCAATCAGAGTAAGACTCATAAGAAAGCAAACAGTCGCTAAAGTGGCAAATGTCAGAACTACAAGCCCCTAAATGAAAGATGAAAAGGATTAGTTAAGAGTCACAATTGACAAGTTAACTAGCCTGAGATTATAGAGAACTAAATGAAGAGAGCTTAAATATATTAAATACTGCCAACTTTCCTTCCAGATACTTTGAATGGTCTCAGGGCTTCAGAAACATCTTGGTAGCCCCTCATATGCTCTTGCCACACAAAATGAAATTTGCAAAGAAAAATCACCATCATACAGATAAGAAGAAAAAAGGTTTCCTTAACAGTATATCTTGCTTGTTCAACTTAAGAATTCCAGATGCCAAGAGAATTGCCACGCTGATTTACCTTAATTATCACAGCCCAGGATGACTGTAAAGAATGGAAGATTCAGTCAGTACACCTGACCATGACACTAATTTGCTAGGTCACTTTGAGCAAATCCGGTGCTTCTTCTGAGACCTTAGTTTCTTTAACTGTGAGATGAAGCCTGCAACATTGTTTTTTTTTTTTTTTTATCTGTGTCAACCAGTCATGAGTTGACTTGGTTGTTTACAGGGAAGTTGTCCCATTTCCTAAAATGAAAAGGGAACAAATAATAGCCAGCTCCTGGTTGTGGTAGTGCTCAGGGGCTTTTTCTGGTCTCAGCTCATCATTTCTGTCAGTTCTTTTTTTTTTTTTTAAAAGATTTATTTATTTATTCATACAGAACTGGAGTACAGGTCAGAGATGTGGAGGGTGAGATGATTCACCAGGGACAGAGTGGGGAGCAGAACAGGCAGATCAACGAAGTACACTGCTGAGAGGAGCAGTGGGCGGGTCAGGAGAGGTCTGCCATGCCATGTGGATGGGAAGGGCGGGGATCGAACTCATGCGGAAGTGGCTTAAGCTTCTTAGTGCTGTGCTTTAACCCGCTGCGCCACCAGGGAGGGCCCTCTGTCAGGTCTTTAACAGGTTTCAAAATGACAGCCTGCAGGCCATACTCAGTAAACAGATGTGTCATGTTTTGTGCCATGTTGGCTAAAACTTTGAATTAAAAAATTAATTGTCACCATTTATGTAGAGGTCAGAAAATTTCACAGTAAAATCCAGACTTCTTGCTCCTCTATAAAAAAAAATCAGAAAACCTGCTAATGCTGGATCCACATTTTCATGTGGCTGCCATCAGCTAGAACCTACACTCCTTGAGACACATAAGAGCCATCAAGTTCCACATAGTCATCCCTCCTCTATCCTTCAGTCTCCCAATACCATCCTCACCACTCATTTGCTGTACCTCTCTGGCCCTGTGTGTTATAAAAGGCTCCTTAGCTTTCCCAACCTTATCTTCCACCATCCTATAAGGACCTCATACACCCACAATACTAAGTTCATTAATAATGCTCATGCTCCTATGACTTTGTACAAGCTGGTTTCTTTGGAGAGAATGCCCCTGCCTTAGAGACCTGATCAATTCTTCAGAAATCAAATCACATGTTCTATGACTCACAACAAACATATTTTCCTGTATTGCACCCTGAGCATATCTAAAGGAAATCACTCACTATTTTGTATTTTTATTTTCTCACATGTTTTCTTACAACTAAAGTGAGCTCCCTCATGATAAGAGCTGGAATTCCATTTTGGCAGCCCCAGTACCTAAACAGCACCTACTACATTGTGGAGACCAGTACCTTGCAGTGGTTTAGGCATGGGATTGGAGACAGTAACCCAGACTGCCAATAATTCCCAAAATGTACAAACCAAGGGATGCCTGTTAATACCACTTATGAAGTGACTACTGTTTACTGTATGCAGAACTGGGCAACACATTACAGAAATATGTAAAGGAAATAGAAGCAAATTACAGTTTTGCAGTTATCTTCCTATTTGTGCGACAGTGAAAGTTGTAAATAATCTAGAAATTCAAATATAGCTGCTTTCCATTACCTTGTTGACGTTCTGTCCACTCAAGTTTCCCTTTCTAATTCAGTTTGTCTGGATCTAATGTGAAGATAATATTAGTTGGCAATGCCTGAATAATAAATATTCAAGCTATGTTGGCAACTTCTGTCTACCCATCAATTGGTAGGGACATGATAAAGAGTTGAGCAAGGACTGGTTCTAAATAATTTCTTGCTCTGGTTAATCTACAGAACAAATCATTGACATAAAGATCACAGAGTTATTTAAAATAATTTCATGATAACAAGATAAAAAGTTAGGAGGAACATGGACTTAGGAATTAGATACTGGTTTGAATCCCAGCTGATTCTCTTAGCAGCTGTGTGACTGACGACCAGTAGTTTTTGCCTGTCTTCAGAACCTCAGTTTTCTCATCTGCAAAATGGAGGCAACCATATATGCTTTGTAAGATATGCAAATCTTAAACAGGATGTTACATATCAAAGTGTACAGCACATAATAAAGATCAGTCCCTGCTATCTAGGAGACTTCCATCAAAAAGTGATTAAACGAAAACTTTTAAGAGTCTCATGGTGATAGCAGAAATTCAGAAGCACCTCTACATACTTGGTACTCGCCAAACACCTGCCCTCCATTTTTGAACTAGTTGAAATAGTACCCTTATGAATCTACCCCCTTTTCTGATCTCTTGATTAGTGTATCCTCCTCCTTTTCCATTCCAATATTCAAAAAACGTCTTCAGCTCAACATGACCAAAGTTCTTCTCCCCCCAAATGTGCCCTTTATTTAACCCATTGTGCAGGCCAAAATCTTTGAAATCATCCTTGAATTATTTTTCGGATACTCAGCATCCAATCTGTCCATGAATGACATCAGTCCCACCTTCAAAATATACCCGGTCCCTGATTATTTCTTACCACCTCCCTACTCCAAGTCCCTGGGCTCTCACTGGATAACCACTTTTGTCTCCCACCAGGTATCCATGTCTTTTGTTTTTGTCCTTGCCACCTTACAAGCTAGCAGCTACTCTGGTCAGAGGCTTTCTTTTAAAATGGAAGTCAGGTCCTTTCACTCATCTGTGTCTCTCTAAGCTCTTACCTTGACCTAAAGCCCTAATGATCTGATTGCTGGCCACCTCCCTGGGCTCCTCTCTACTACTATTCTCCTTGAACTCTGCTCTAACTATATGGGCCTCTTTGCCATTCTCTGACAAAGCCTGCTCTCACGTAAGGGTCTTTTTCTTTATATTTTCTTCTGTCTAGGATGCTAGTCACCCAGAGAGTCACAAGACTTCTTTCTCCTTTACTTCTAAGTGTCTTCAAATATGTCACCTTATCTTATCAGAGAAATTTTCCTGAACCAATTTCTCACCCACTTGCTGTTTTCTGCTGTTGCTCCATTTTTATTCTTCACACTTATCATTTGACATGTTATATATATGCTCCTTGATTATATAATCCCTCTACAGCCACAACTAGAATGTCACTTCATGAGGACAAAGACTTTTGTCTGTTTACTTCTTCTATCTATAGGACAAAGAATGATGCCAGACACATATAATAGATGCTCAGTAACTGTTTGTTGATGGAGTAAGAGGAAAGAGTAAGGAAATCTAGTTGTATGTCTTACAGGATCGGCATGGACTTTATTCCTGCTTTACTATCCTGAAAGAAAACATTTCTCTCCTTTTACATGAGATGTCTCAGCCAGAGAAAGTTATGTAAAGGCCACACTGCGTAAAGAAAGTTTGGTTGAACATTTCCCTTGTAGGCAGCAGACTTTCTTACTAAGTTGTGTGTGAAGTTAGTATTATAAACATTTCACAGATAAGGAAGGTGAGGCTCCTGGAATATAAATGACTAGCCCTAATTCACTAATATTGAGTAGTGGAGTCTGACTGGCACAAAAATT